GTCTAAACTTGTGCGAGCTAAGGACTAACGAGGTCTCACCTTTTAACGTGTGATTCCTAACACGGGTTGGACGATAGCAAGTGAAAAATCGATCGTTCAGCCTGAGGCTTGAACCATCGACTTACACATCGGTCGATTGACTGAGTGAACGAAGCACCCACGTTGAACCGCCTGGCTACCGACCGACTTAACAGATTGTCTCTGGTCTGGATTCCTGGCCAAACTGGCCTGAAAGGCAATGAGGCTGCTGACTCCCTTGCAAAGGAGAGTGCTGCAAGCAGCTTCATCGGACCAGAACCTGTCACTGGCATCGCTCGAAAATTGAAGACCTGTGTGGCAAGAAGATTTATAGACTTCTGGCAGGATCTTCCAGGATTGGCTCACTTCAAGGCGTTCATTCACCCTACGAAGCTTGATGCCAAACAGTTATTGGACTACAGTAGGGATGAGCCACGTTGTCTAACAGGCCTTCTTACAGGCCACTATCATTTGAATCATCATATGCAGAGACTCGGACTGTCGGAAGAGAGTGTGTGTAGCCGAATCAGGTTTTTAGACCTGAAAAACCACTCATTATACAAACTAAACGGTTTCATTAGTATGCTGGGTTTATTTGGTCGAGTGTGAATAGTTGTGAGCCCCAATAAACCCTTGCGGGTTGCGATGGAGGGTCGAATAGACCTACTCACTTTGGACTAAACTGACTCAACCTATATAGAATAAATTAAAATTCACTAGTTTCCCAGCTTTCGACAGAAAGGCTTCAGGAGAAAAAACTACCCCAAGCTTCACTTTTGAAGTTTTTATGTTGTCCTTCAAAGCATATTTATGAGGAAAATTGCGATTAGAATTTTCAACTATCCACCAAGTACCTATTTTTTATTTCATTTCTCGATAATTCATTTCAAATATTTTTTGAATCGTACAGAGCGACGCATGTGCGACCTAAACCAACTGTTTTCACCCGTATTTTCATTCCTCAATTTAGTTGAATAAATATTCGTGCTACATTTGCGGGAAGGGAGTAATGCTTTCGCTCTTCAAAAATATGTCTTTATATTTTAAATACATGTCATAGTTTTTGAAATATGCGCACATATTTTTCTGTTCATCTGAATTGTACATAACTTTCAAACTATCACTTTGCGCTCATTGGTTCAAATGGTGAATTACTTCGATTGAATTCAAAAATCGAATTAAACGTCAATCCTATTATTCGGTCAAATGTCATGTGTTTTTGTTTTTCCATATTTGAATAAATATTTATTCTACTGTGTCGTGGTGTATACTGATCGATTTTGTACTTTATACATTGATGCTGTTGATTTAATATTTCCAAATTTTCTAATTGTTTGCGTCTCCAAATTGAATCAAAGCACTGCCGAAACAGCCCGAAAAATTAATCAGGTTTTTGGCAATGATAGTGTTAATAAACGGACTGTTTGACATTGATATGAGAAATTTCGCAACGGAGATTTTAGTCTCGAAGCTGAGCCCCGAAGTGGTCTGCCTACAGTAATCTTGGATGAGGGTTTGAGGATCCTGGTGGAGACTGAGCCATCATAAACGAAGCGTGGGATGGCGAAGAACTGGGCATGAGGTCCCATGCGGCTTTTGATGGTTGAAAACATGTTGGAAAGGTCACAAAAATCATCCATTTGAACAATCGACAGAAATTGTCATTTGTGATGCACTGTTTGGAACCTTCGGTGTAGTAATGAATATTACTGGAGTTTTATCCCATCTTAAATAGGAAGATTGACTTTCCTCTTGAATAACTTTTTTCGAGATCAATTGCACTCGACGCGCGTTTCGCTAACAAAGTTAGCATCCTCAGGAGAAGAAAATTGATACCTAGTCTAGTCTGGTTAATCCTTATATACTAAAATTTGTTACCTGAGATTGTATACCTGAAGTCCAATATGGAATTTCTCGGTAATTAACTACCTGCAAGTTCTTAGTAATTATTCTCTTCCTAACAGAAGATTAAAAAGCGGGCTAAACGGTATGGGTCCCTCATCGCCATTCATGCTGTGCTTACATTTTGCTATTTCTAGACTCTCAAATGCATCGAGTAGCCTGGTGTCATGCTTAATCAGTTTCAGATTGTTTTCACCAATTCTGTGATCCTTCTCTAGAACATGTTGGGCGACACTGGATTTTTCTATCCATCCGTATTTCATGTGTGCACAATGCTCCTTGAAGCGGGTTTATTTGCTCGTCGGCTCTGGCCAATGTATTTGCTGTTGCAATCTTGACAACTGATTTCGTAAATCCCAGACCTTTCTGTGTTTTCTAGTCTATCTTTTGGATTACCAAGAAGCTGTTGCAATTTATAAGAAGTTTTATATGCAACTTTCACGCTTACTTTATCGAATATCTGTTGAAGCCTTCTCGTGTATTGGGGTTCATATGGGATTACTATAAACTTGTTATTACTCTCCTTTCTTTTAAAAGTCAAAGATTTACGAAGTGCTTCCCTAAACTTGCATTTTCTAATTATCTTGTCAACTATATCTGGATTAAAACCGTTTGCTTCAGCTATATACCGAATCACTCTCTTTTCATTGTCGTACTTATTTTTCTTTACAGGAAAAGTTATTAACCTGTGTACCTTCCTCTTGAAGATTATCACTTGGTGAGCGAAACACTTGTCGAGGTGTTAAAATAACGGTTAAGTGTTGGGATAAAACTCTAGTAATATTCAGAAATTGTCATATTTCGAAGTTTGTTCTTCTTTGCTGTTGCGCAACAAAACAATTCTTTGTAAAGTGGATCCTCTACGACAACAGGAGACCTTCAGGACGGTGGTTGGATACCGATGTGGAACACATGCACTTTCCAAAGGAGAAAACCCACAAAAATACCATGGTTACTGTATGGTGGTCAGCGGCAGAGTTCCAATGTGAGGAAATCGACGAAATGTATCGAAAATTGTATTGATAGCAGCCGGCCCTGGACAACACAAAATTAGACAAATTAAGCGTCGAAGTTCTGCCTCATCCACCATACTCCCCAAACCTCTCACCAATCGACGATCAACCGGTAGAACCTTCGCCAATCAGGATCCGGCAAAAAAGGCATTCATCGATTTCACCGAATCCTGAGTACCCATTTTTCATGCTGACGAAATTAATCGACTTTTGTTACGTCGGCAAAGTGCACTGATCCAAATGGTGGTTATTTCGCCAATATATTGCAGTTTGAAGCAGCCCCATGGAAACGGATACAAGTTTTGAAACGACCCAATAATTTTATATGAAGATGAACTCATATTTCGCGAAATATTACTTACGATAGATGAATTGTCAAGAGAGATATACCAATTATTATACAGGCCGTTCTTCTGATACAATATAATTATTTTTCTATGTCTGGGATCATCTGAATTCATGTTGTACATTTGGCAGATTTGAACATCTCTCTCACCTTGGATGCCACACCTTCACACATTTTATGTGGAATCAGGAAGACCACCAACGACTCGAAATCAATTTAAATTTTCTTCAGGAAAATACAACTCGGAAACCCTTAAACATATTAGATACATAAAAGACTTGAAAACATCGTAGTAACAAAATAGTCGAGACCAACACTATACAAATCGAATGGTTTCTTTTGTTGGGATTTCCAGACAATTAAATAATTAACGATGCAAGTGGACAAGTATCTTGAACTAACTTTCGAGTAAAATGCATATGTGAAAAATTTGGCACATTTCTTGACAACAAATTCAAGAAGCTTTTTCAGATGAAAATACAGTTACAAAAAACTGAAATACTGCAAAACATGAATCAACATAGTGTACAAATTAAACTGTCCCAAGTGATGTTGAACAAACTTGGAGTTATAATGTTACACTAATTTCTTAATACATGAGGGATTCTAAGATAAAAAACTCCACAGCTCTTGTTGAACATGAAAAAAAACATAGACACATTTAACTCCAATCATATTTATCCAAAATATTTATGAGCAGAATGAAACATTTTCTCAAACACGATAGTGTAAATAATACAAGGGAAGGCCTCAAAACTGATTTTTGTCATCTTGATTCATCCTCACATCAATTAAAATCAGTCGAAATAATGAAGTCATTCGTTTGCTATCATTATTCAAACGGTTTTATTCAGCTCACCCTGTTTGTTTAGCTCAAATTTAGTAATTGAGTTTGACCCTCTTCCTGTTGACAGATGGATCTGATATTTGGTATATACAAACATTTAGTTTTATTAACAATACAATTCAATGAATTATGTATAATTGTAAATCCAAAATAGCCGTAGCTTCAAAATGATGGATTACATAATTTCCCACAAGACCTCTATATATCAAATGACTGGCTTGACTAGAAGAATAATAGCATAACTCTGCAAAAGATGCAACTTCAAGATGGCCGAGGCTACAAAGTGGCGGATTACATATTATTTCACGAGTACCTACCTCAATAGTAACTCACTATGAAAAAAATGCAAATCCACTACAATCTATTCAAAGAACTTTGTCAACCCAAAATTGGATTGCAAGCATGGATCTGTCACCCAAGTCAAGATTTTGTATCGTGTGTGGAGAACTGTGTGGGATTAGGGTGGCTGAAAATTACACGTCATTAGCGATACACCACATAAGTTGAGGTAAAAGGTTGAAACGTGTCAAGAACTGTGCGGCATTAGGGTGGAAGAAAATGATGTGTCGTTAGGGTTTCCCGCTCAAGACTTGGGCATATATTGTTATATATAATGCCTGGCACCTCTGTTAGGCCTCTTTCTGATCAACATCGTAGATTGCTAAGGAGAGTAATGTGATGACCGCTACCTAGAACCTCTCGAATTATTTTTCATTTTCAAGTACATTATTTACATGTATATTGAAGTGATTTCTTGAAAGCTAAGACAATTGATGGGTTTGTTATCAACTCTGTTGAACATCCCATTCATGCGAAAAATAAGTATCTATTCCATATGGATAATAATACCCTAATTCATTTCAGACGGACTCACCAGACAAAGCCAGAGTCCCCATTCTCGCCATTTCTGATATTGGTGTCCATTTACTCAAAATAATATTAATATTTGCGTAAAAGAATCCTTGAGAAAGACCCATGAAGACCCTGCACCCCATGACCCCATAAGATCCCAATTTTTCGGCCATTATGGGAATCAGATTCATTGCAGTGCTGTTGACGAACATGGCACCTAGCAGAAAATTTTTGGGGCCAAATCTACGACCCAGCTCAGCGCCTATGATTTGAAGCCAAATGTATCCCCAGTAGAATGATGACAATATCACATCTTGGTTTTTCCAGTCATAAGCCTAGGAAAAAACATAATTTGATGAAATGTATGTAGGCTTTCACGGTTGGCGTCAATGTTTTGGTTGGTTTCTGGGTTATGCCGTGGTCTTTTTTGATTACAATCTCCATCTTCAGTGGCTTGGTCAAAATACTTTTCTTGACGTATCAACTAAAACTGAAGCTCTCATTTCTGTCACGTCATTTATAGTGTTGATTTTTTTTCCGTGCATTTTCTGTAATGATGGTCTCGCGCGTAGTTTCCGCGCCATTTGGGTGATATAACTTCGTTTTTGGCGCCTTTCAATCCTGTGTGCCAGATCTTCCTTCCTGTTAAAGTTCTCTTGGTGTTTGTGTATTCGTATGACTTCTAAACACATTCTTGTTGAATGATGATTCGACGTTGCTAGCGTCTCAATAATTTTGGAAAGGATCTTGTATTTCCCATCGGATAATGCATATTCAACAACTGCAGACTTCACGGTCTGTCCCCAATCGGCAACTCCGCTTGTGCTCGACTACACGGGTACCAATGCTCCTTTTCGTCTGACCGATATAAACTTTACCACAGGTACATGGAATCCTGTAAACTCCCTCTGATTTGAGTGTATCTCTGCTGCTGATCTCAGATACTCCGGTATCAATTTTCTCCTTTTCTAGAATGTTTCCGATTGGGTTGGTAACACCTTCTATGTATGGCAGATAGACAGTGCCTTGGGGTTGCTCTTCACTGATATTCCTCTTATTTCCCCTTGAACGCGTAGCACAAATTATGTCTTTTCTGTCGTAGCCGTTCGCTTGTAACACAGTTGTTTGGTGTTTTATTTCGTCGTTGATGTACCTTTTTTTAAATATTCTCAAATTTCTGTTCACTAGGGTGTTGATGGCGGTTCGTTTCTGTTTTGGATCCATTATGTAGGTATCGATCGGTGTGTGTTTTCTTCCTGTTCACCTTGTGACCTAGTTGATCACCTTCCTTGATGACCATTACTTCAAAGAATGGTATTTGGAAGTTTTCTTCTAATTCCATGGTGAACGATTTTTGAATGGAAGATATCCAAATGATTTAGGAAGTTCTGGAGTTCTTCTTTTCTGGAGTTCTTCTCCAAAAAACGAACGTGTCATCTACATTCCTCAACTACTGCTGGGTCGTTTTTCTGAAGTTTGAATGACTTTTTATTCAAATTTTTACACATATAAATCTGCTGCTACTGGGCTAAGTGAACTGCCCTTGGCGACTCCATCAATTTGTTCACAAATGGTTTTATTTCATTGAATATAAGTTGTCGTTAGTGAATGTTGATATCTTGTGAAAAAATATCCTCTATGTAACTGAAGAATTCCTCGAGTGGTACATTTGTAAATGAGGATACACTATTGAAGCGAAATGTTCGATGTTCAGTGGAATCTCGGACGTACGTCTTAGCCTTCCCAACCTGTTTCTGCAGCATATCCGGTAGATGCTTGTCGAAGTTGTAGGTTGTGATCCTATGGCACTTGATATCGGTCTCATTGTGAATTTTCGGTAATCCATAGACCCTTGGTGGTAATGCTTCTGATCTACAAAGTTTCTTCTTTGTCTCTGGTGGTGATGGAGATTATTTCATGTTATTTTATTTAGGTCTTTTTGTAATCATCTGTACGTTTCTTGACTGACAAGGTTATTGAGTTTGCTTTTGTAGTCCGAGGTGTTTAAGAACACTGTTGCGTTTCCTTTGTTAGCAGATTGAATAATGAAACCTTTGGAGATTGTAACCAAAGAAGATAATGGCAGAATCCAGAAGCCAACTAGAACAAAATGTATGTAGTATTTAGTATGTAGTATACTTTGTTAGTATGTAAGTATTTGTAAAAATATTTTCAAGTTAAACTATTTTTACAGGTTATTGATACTCAACTTTGAGTACCATTAACATGGCCAATGAAAAATTAACGTATCTATTGAGTCAACATCGGTATCTTATATATTTTGTCTCTTCTCTCTCATTACTTTGGACCCCGCTAATTCCCTACCTTTTTGAGATGGAGCTAAAAAAATTATTTTATGTTTTCTATATGACAACTTGATACAGCTATATACTTGTTTTTTGGTGACTTTTCTGTTTCTGTTGTGACTCATTTCTGTATTATATGAGATTTTCTCTTTGGTTGATCTCAAAATGTTTTTTTCAATTTTACCATAGAGGTTAGGTGCACAAAATTCCACATAAGGTGTCGAAATGAAAAACCAATACGTTTTATGCAATACCGTTGAAGAAAATTTCCTCTTTGTTTTAATCCTGATAATTCAATTTCATATGTTTTGATGACATTAAGAAAACACCCTATTTAATATTAATTATTGCAGTATAGAACTATAATTAATATATCTCCAATCTCCAGTATATTTTTTGAGCGAGTTTAAATGAAAAACCAATACGTTTATGCAACACCGTTGAAGAAATTTTCCTCTTTGTTTTCATCCTGATAATTCAATTTCATATTTTTTGATAACATTAAGAAAACACCCTATTTAATATTAATTATTGCAGTATAGAACTATAATTGATATATCCCCAATCTCCATTATATTTTTTGAGCGAGTTTACACAAAATAACTATTGGCTCTTGCATGATAGATACAATGAACATATTGAATTCAATATATCTACCGAATATATTATAGTTACCGGTATATCAGGATTCGAGCTTGTGTTAGTAGTAGTCATTGCCACTATTGCTACTGATAGTTGAACTCTCATTCCAACTGCTATGGCAAGCATCACCATCATCAATATCACTTGTACATGTCGAACACCCAGAGGTGGAGCTACAAAACATATTCTCATTGCAAACTTCCAAATATATTAAAATTATAAAGTGAGTGATTCTGTGGATTACTTCAGAAGAAGCCATATCTTCAAATTTGGTATCCAGCCTTCTGAAGTCAAAAACCATGAATCGGCCATAAAATCAATACTTTCTGGGGTTCTGACCCTTTCATCTCCTACGATTTTTTGAGGACGTCATCTTATAATTGCTAGGGATCGCACGTCGGAATGTAAGACCTCATTGACTCCCATATTGTACAATCTTTCTATTTTAGACGTAGGGTGCGATGGCTGGTTGAAGAAATAGAGTTGGGATGATAGATCGTGTGTTGAGAAAACATCAAAAAACATTTTTTTAATCACCGATGTAGTATTGATTAGATTTGAAATGACAAAAAAATCATCATTATATCTATGCCTTGGTTCAGGCAAATTGTTACTATAATTATTGAAAGGAAACAATTGGTTTACCTCACCTTAAAAATACAGACTGAATATGGCACCAGTATTAAAAATTTGAGACTTAACCTCAAATATCTCTCGAATGATCTCAAAATCAAGCAGGAGAGAAGTATATTCGAACACAAGATCAACAACCTATTTTTTAGCTACAGAAGCCATTGACGTCGTAAGAAAATATCGCATGATTTGAAAGGGTTAGGACCAGAAATAAGTACCATCCTGAAGAAAGTTCAATAAACTTCCATAGCCTCTACATGGAAATTGTTAACAGGAGATTGTATACCAACTTCTCTTTCTCCATTTTAAATGTATCCCCATTTCGACTCCACCCATAGAAAGTGAGTTCTTCATTTGAATTATTGTGCTTACTCGTTTAATATTCTTTTTTGATTTGTTCAACTCATTTTGTTATCACATATCACAGCAAGCAATGTAAGAAGAACATGCCGAATAACTATTTTCTATTAGCATAGCCGACAAAAATGAATTGCTACTATTCTCACTCACCTATTACTTTCTTTTCCATTCCGTGAATATATTTTCAAAAAATGTATTGGAACTTATAAACAAACGAAATTCAGAAAAATTGATGTTACTTCAATTACGAACATATATCTACTGAATAAACAAAGTCCATTCCATTAGTTGATATGATAATCACAACAGTTAATCAGAATACTTATAACTAATTTTATATGGAACATTAGAGATTAAGATCGATAAAAACCTCCGTTGGTAGAGTTTCAGTCAATATTCAATTAAGAATTAGTAAAATAGTTCGGAATATCTAATATGTGTAGAATTATGTGTAGACTAATTGTCTATCACATGATTTCAACAATTTGTTAGGAAAAAGATCAGTAACATCATTTTGTGTAGTTCGAAAGAATATAATATCTATTATTTCCAATGTACCGTAGAAAGAACGCTATCGGGCAAAGTAGTAAGCTATAGGTATACTTTTTACTACATACTTTTTCAATTTTTTTCTTCTCAAAGTTTTCCATGAAATTTTCAGGTACATTCGAAATAATCTCTGAAATACTAAAAGAATCAATTAAAACATATAGTAATTTCAAGCCATGATTTGATATAAATAATATATAAATCAGTTTATAATATGGAAAATATAACTCTTTCTGATAACGCTGACTTAATTATCACAAAATTAATAATAACCATGATTTTACATTCTTTCACAAACCATCTCATACGGATATTTTCATGCAGCAGCATTCAACATTATGCTCCACAAAATATTGAATGTTCTACTCATAGAAAGAGATTTTCAGAATTCTGAAAAACCACTGAACGGCGAATAGAATTGAATACTTTTCTTTTATCAAACTGTTTTATCATGAGAAAATTGGTAATTTGATACGTGAGCTTAGGTAATTTTCATTAATTATATGTCCATTTAAATGAGTTTCTGAAATTTCTTTATTAATGTTCAAATTTGTTATTATTTCATACCTCAAGTAGAATAATCATCAGTTATTAAGTTGGTAGACGATCATATGATCCAATTCATGAATTTGTCTTAACAAGTCACTACAGTCAATTTTATTGTTCAAGGTAGTTATTAGATACAAGTCCTTGCACTTGAAACACATGAACTCTAATGAGCAGTGATAAGACACGCCTGCTAAAAGCGGTTAGGTTCAGAGCAGGGTCTCGCCTTGCTTTTAATCTAAGCTGGGATGTAGCTACTGGGTATACCGATATAAGGAACTGTATCCACAATACAGAAATTTAAAGGTCTGAAAGTTGAGAACCCAGATTCACTATCATATGAATAATGTCCCATTGGGGGATTATCTCCAGAATGTATCCTGGTAGAATATCTACCTTTGATGGAAGGAGCCCTCGAGCAAAGTTTAGTGGAGAACTTTTGTGGATGGCTTTATTGAACGGGTAGTTTTTCGATGGTTTTATAACTATACTCATATCATTCAGCCTCATCAAAATCCTTTCAAAATCTAGAATTTCAGAAACATATTTTCTACTTATATAATAATATATCATACAGGACTCCATACAGTATAAAGGTAATCTCTCTATGGCCTGGATCGATTACCACAAGGCATTTGATACAACATCGTATGAGTTCATTTTGCATTTGCTCAGATGCCTTTCGGTACCCGATTGAAAAGTGAGATGTATTGAACAACTGATACCACTCTGGCCAACTCGCTTCACCATAACATCTGGTCCAAACAGGGTGGGTCACTTTTCGAAGGGGTGTATTTCAGGGCGATTCCCTCAGTCCTCTTCTCTTCTGCATCTCACTATTGCCATTATCCATCGGGCTCAGAGGGATCATCTGAATTCATGTTGTACATTTNATGGTATCCTCTTCTTCACTTGTTTTGTTTCCTTTTCTTCTGAAGTTTTTTCTTTTACAGCATCGTCCTCGCTGTCGGAATAGTCAACAGTTTCTAGCTAATCTACAGAGTACTTTTCTCCGTCGATTTTCAAGTATTGTCTTCTGAGTCGAGCTTAAGATTTATTTTTTCTCGATATTTTTAGGTGCTTTACGAGAATTTTGTTCAATTTCCTATCTTCTGTACTGAGATCGTTCGATATAGCTCACCGATATTTCTCCACAAATTCACTTTCTTAAAGACATTGACCTTTTGTAGAAAAGATACAAATTCTATAACAACTCCTTTTTCTTCGGAAGATTTATTTACGATCTATATATTATTTTTATCTATTACTTCAAAATTCACATCTAGTGAGCGATTAACCTCCTTCAGAACGTCACCAATTATATCGTCGCCTAGTACCAATCCAAAGACTGGATTATTTTTCTTTCGTGAATTTTCCAGCCATGCACAGCGTTTTCCCAACTTTTCTATTGTTAGTTTTGAATCTTCTATGGATTTGTTGATGTCATTCAGGCTCCCTCTTATTTCGTCTTTGATATTTTTTGTTTGCTCTTCGTTTTGTTGGCTGAGTAGCTCATAGAGTTTACGCAAATTTGGATCGGAAATTTCATTTACGCTCATTTCGCTTCTACCTTGTGCGTTTTACTTCCTGGCCTGTATTGAAGGTCTCCTTGGCCACTCTCCTTTCATGTATTTATCCTCTATTTTTGTCATTTGAACTTCGGTCTAGTGTTTTTTTTTGCATCAGGGTGAAAACAGAAAGTGATATGAATGCGCGGGATGCAGCGTTTATTCAGTTCGTACACATATTTGTATTTATAAACTAATCACGAATTCTCTTCAAATCACTCAACTGTACCGAGGCTGATTTCTCCAGGTGCCATATGCAGACGATAAATTTACTGTGTTATGAAAATTGAATGACAAGGAAAGGTCACAAGATAGCTTGCTCAATCAATTTGAAGGAAAAAAAAGTTTATGGCTCTCTACTTCTCTATCTAGAAACAAAAAATGTGGGAATTTTCCAAATTTTCCTAATCTTCCAGTTTGTATTTTTGTATGAAGGTACTCTTTTTGAAATTGACTGCACCCGTCCTTTCTTTGGAAAACTCCCACATTTTTTCAAAACAAAATGGAGAAGTAGAAAGTTAAAAACTTCCTATCCCAAAAATTAAACTCTCTTAAAAATATGAACGTTTTAATTTTTCGAAGGAAAAATATTCGAAGCCTCTTAGTACTTACTTCTTCTTGTGCTGACTGAACATATAAAATGTGTTTACATGTGATCAGAAAATTCTGAGTGGCAACAAGATATCCATCCGAATTATTCAATAAATTATGATAATGCTTTGCTGCTTAATAGTGTGTTTATCAAAATCATCAATTAGTAGAATATATCGGCACAATTGAAACTGTAACAACCATATCCATATCTCAATATAGCAAGATCGGAATTTTCTAATTGGTTGATTCAAGTATTTAATCTTGAAATTGAGGTTCCAATATTTGTTTTGCAAAATCCACAAACAGATCAGATACCAATTCGAAATCACAACTGATCACTATATTTCAAATAGACTTCACAAAATTGTGAACTACTCGGCGCGGCGTTATGACCTAGTCTTCGAACTGATTTCTTGTACATACATCATATTCGAATATTCTTGTATTTTGTTTGCTGAAAACAGTTTTATTGAAAGTACCTAATACAAATTATGAAACAACAACAACGAAAGTTAATTGGCGCTCCGGGGCGACTTGATCAACTCCAGTGGCGCATTTGCTTTTTCAGCTGCAGGAAAACCCGGAAAAACCTGCAGCACCACATCATCTGAAGATCTTGATATGCCAATGTGCTCTCTTTCATATGAATATCTTATTGAATTATCAGTTTCCATATTTTGCATTCTTTTGCGTTTTATTGTATATCAACGACTTATTGAAAAAAAAAACAAAAATCCAATATATTGCTTTGTTGACGACAGCACACTTGTCTTGTCATTTCATTTGGATTCCAGGACAACGGCTACAAAGGCACATCTTCACCGGCAGCGGGAGGTTGCATTTCTCAATGAAGATCTAGAAGTGATTTCGAATTGGGGTGAAAGTAACTAGGTTCAATTCAATGCCACAAAACCCAGGCATCGATTTTCTCCAAAGAGATAAATGTCTCCGAACCGGATATAATAATGTCAGGTCAGACAATTCCGCTTTCTGCTTCGATAAGTTTGTTGGGAGTAAAAATAGACACCAATATGTTTTGGTACAATCATGTGGCTGGAATTGCAAAGGCTGCTTGTCAAAATCTTGGAACACTGTTCCGAACCAAAAAACTGTACACATCTCAGCAACGTTAGATGCTTTATAAAGCTCAGATCAGACTTTCTTTGGAGTATTGTTCTAATTTATGGAGCTCTGCCCCCAAAACATACCCTGAAGTTACTGGATTCCATCCAGAAAAGAGCCATTCGCCTGATTGGAGATTCGAACATCACGTGCAACCTTGATAACCTGGAACATCGAAGAAAGGTTGGAGATTTGTCTCTTCTCTATATTGATACTTTCACGGGAGGTGTTCAAGTGACTTGGCACATTTGATTCCACCAAGAGCGGTACATATAATCGTTTTGAGGTTCAACTTAGTACACCTAGAACTTCACTGTTCAAGAACTCTTTCATCTGGAGATCTGCGTTTATGTGGAATTAACTTCCTCAGAATGTTTTTCCAAATGGATTTAATCTCCAGCGATTCAGATAAAATGTGAATTGCTACTTTCGCACAGGCACCTCTCTGAGAGCGCCTTAAGGATTTTCATGTAGCGCTTGTGTTTTGTCCTTAAAAAAATGTTCACAGTCCTAAATATTACTGATGCTAAATCAGTATAAAATCTGCTGAAGTGTAATAAACATCAAAGTGAAAAGTTCACCATGCATGATATAAACAACTGATAGTCATAAATTTGATCTACAAATTGAATTATCAAAGAATCTATTCTTAGTTTTCACACAGATGTTTTGGGTTTCAGAAAATGATCCTATTCTTTTCTCATATTCAAATACGAATAAACTATTATTGAACTATTTTGAGAACTATTATTGAGAGCACGTCAATAATAGTTCTCATAAAACTTCCTCAATGAACTGATTACTATATTGTTAACGTTGTTTGTAACCACTTTTATCAGTGATATAAATTGGAGGTATACTGTTCGAAGATTCTGTCATTTGTTTTCCATTC